TAGATTTTTTTTTTTAATAGCCTGGTAGTTAAGCAGTTAACTACAAAGCATTTCCTAGCACTTTGCAGGGGTTTACAATGTAAACAATCCCATTATTAAAGCATTGTGTCAATGGGAAGACTGGAATTAATTATTTTACATGTTAACTCTTTAATGTCCTTGCTCTTACTCTGACACAATGCAGACAGTAGGTAACAAGCCAGACTGATAGGATACTGCAGGCTTGAAACTCTACAAATGGAAAATCTTGTTTTCTAGAGGTACAGAGACAGCAGGAATACAAGTGAACTGGCAGAAGGAGACTGTACTGTCTGTCTAATCCCTCTTCTGTCAGATGATTTGATTCCTTTTTTCAAAAAACTGTAATAAGGGGAGATCTTCATCAGATCAATTTCCGACTTCACTTTCTCTCTCTCTGCTTTGTCAGTTCAAGTGCTGAGATCCCTTGTCTGTCACCTCCAAATCTAGATAATAGAATCCTGACCCGACAGTCAATTAACCATATCTGTCAATCAAGTCACGGCTGAGTATTTAAGGATTGTAGAGCTTACTGTGTCTATAACAACTGTATTGTATCAACTCCCGATGGATACAGGAAAAGACATTTAATCTGTTTTTAGTTATTGTGGTTAAACCCTGGCATTTAAACGGTTAAACCCACTGCAGTCACTAGGGTATTGATTGACAATCTTATGAATAATGCTGGATTGGCTTCACCAAAAAAACAATACTCATTTTCACACAGACCCCTCATTCATTACTAACTTTAAATGCAGTTCATCCATTTGAAAATCATAATGAGCATAAGCCAACTATAGAATAATATATTTAATGCACCTTCACCATTTGGGATGGATATTGAACACATTCCCACTATACGGTCTTATGTAGAACACTATACCATAGGGTAATATATTTATTCTATGTCCAATCTAGAATGGCATATTATATGCAAGAATACAGTTAAGAATGTGCATTTAACACAGACCCACCATAGTGTTACATCCTTGAAGAAACACATATTTTAATACAAAGATTTTTGTTTAACATTGTATTAACTATCCGCAGACTTCAGAAGAAAGGGGTTTTCAATCACAATTTTTCCCCACCATACCTTTCTTGGTTTTTGATATATATATATATATATATATATATATATATATATATATACTGTTTAGGTTTCAGGACCATCTTTCCTCCATTTAAAAAGGTGCTTTTATTCACCTTTTTTTCAGCGCTGTGCCAGTCTTGTCATAGCTGCATCCATGACTGAGATCACCAAAGTTGACAATCTCAGCCAATCCAATGCTTTCCCATAGGAAGCATTGAGAGGCTATTGCACATGCACAGAAAAACTCCATCCTGCACCAATAAGCATTTACTCATAGAGATGCATTGGATCAGCACTGACCCAATAGGAGGAGTTAGCGGTTGATGAGGTAATGGTAGTTGGGGGTGGGCTTTGTATAAATAGTGAAGCCATTTTAGATCCTGCCACTTATAATTTTGCTCATTTTACTGAGTTGATCCCACCCTCCCTCACCTGGGTTGGTGTCTTTAATGTTTGTCCCGTTTTGCCACAGCGGTGGGGCTGGTTAGGGGAAAGGGTCATTTTAGTTTAAAAAGACAGCGTAGTTAATTCATCTGGTTAGGAAGGTGGTTTAATACTGTTTGTATAAAACTTGGTAGGATTCCAGCTGGTCTGTGGCTCTGTGGTGGGTGCAGGGAGTATACCCAAACCGTGGTTATTTAAAGAAAATGTTGGGACATTACTTATTTATGGCTATGTTGTTTTTTATTGTTTGTGATATTGTTTTATTGTTTACTTATTTTTATTTTTTTAATATTAAAGATGTGGACATATTTAACCCATACTCCAGTAGTGTCTGTGTTTATTGGGTTAGGGGTTATTGTGGGGTGCGAATTCCACCTGCCCATATGGCAACAGTGCACCTGTTAAGTTCTCTATAGGGGCAGTCAGTTGAAATTTTTTTTATACATACCTTTAAGTAACCTGAGGTGAGTACCCTTAGAATAGCAATACACACTCATAGAGTAGCATGTAATCAATGATTATAAACAGCTTCATTATCATTTGAGTAAACCAATATTAGTATCTTTAAAATAAATGAACACCACTGAATAATACATTAAATATCACTTGTCACCTGTGTTAATCATTTTTACTTGAGATGCTCCATTTTCTTTTAAATGTGTATTAAATACTTAGCAAATGGTAGCATAATCCAATTCAGACAGGGCAAAGCCAGGACAAACATTGCAAATGATGAGAATTAGAAACATTGCTTTATTTCTATTCTCTATATGCTTTTTTCTATGCTAACTGTCAGGTGCAAAGTACAGAGCTTATAAAAATGATTTCCGGGGAGGTAAAATGGAGACAGCCAGTTGCATTGTAAAGAGGTGTGGAGCTCTACATTGGTTTTTATTTTTCCTATATATATATATGGATAAGTAACCCTAATAGTAAAAAGAACATGGAAACTGACAGTTCCATTTTAAATAAAAATGAAATCTGTTACATCTATGTCTCTGCTGTGTCTCAGTGCCAAACAAATCACACATATACTAGAAATCAATAGAAAGGTAGGGACTGCACACAGAGAATCCAATAGACCCAAACAATCATGTTCAGTGCATCCGTGACCAGAGGTGGCAAACGTTAAATGCAGCAACAAAAAGGTCCTTGCACTCAAGTGATGACAAAGGCCACATTGTGCGACTGAAATCTTGTTTCTTGTATCTTGGTGTGACCATTAAAGTCTGCTTATCACCTTTGATGGAGTGCATGGACCTTTTTGTTGCTGCACATGTTCTAGAAATAATTTTTTTTTTATAAAAATGCACCCCCGAAGGGAAGATTCTCCTCAGACTTTGAAGATGTAAACAGTGAGGTTACCCATGAATCAGTAGCTATAACCTAGTCAATGACTTTGCAGAGAAGTAGATGCAGGATATCAGATTTTGGCAAGACAGTGCCAATTTATAGTTTTTGTTCCACCTTCTCAACTTTGTTCCCTGTTGTTCCTGTTTTGGGGATATAATGGATCTGTCTCAAAAAAGTGTAGCTCGAGTACATTATTAGATGTGCTTATGCTACAGAGTTTACCTCTAGGACCCCGTAGAGAGCACTGAATCAGTGCTTCCTGCATGTCCTGCCCTCAGTGTGCTGGCCTGCTTTATTGGTGTGAAGGCTGACCTTCTAATAATTTGGGAAGACCTGTGCTTTTTTGGGGTGAGTCTGTCCTTTTTGGACAGAGCCAGTGACTCAATCACATCAGTGGCCCACCCCAATTGCTCCACTCCCAGCAGCATGCCGCTCCTCTCAATGCTATGTCGGGGGTTATGTAGGAGATGTGTAGCAATCTTTACAATACATACTTTCATTGCCTTTGCAGCAGAGCATATGTAAGCAAGCACCTTTCTTTGTAATTTTAACCTGAGTCTAACTCTCAGTTGGCTTATTCACGTGGTATTTAGTAAAACTTTGGGATTATTTCTGTCCTAAAGGGATCTGAGTCATTAGAAAATAATACTGGGAATGAGACCATAGAATTTGGGTTTCAGACACAAAAGAGCAATGAATGAGCAAAGTATCTATGTGCCGCAAGCAGAACTTTCTCTATCTGAGGTTATGATGTTGAAATTATATTAGCTTTTATTCCAGAAAGAAAATTAGAATCTCTGGGATATTTATCCCCTGCAGATCAAGCTGGCATTGCGCTGACTGGGAATAAAACTCCCCCCAGTGACTGTAGCGGGGGTGATCTATTACACACTTACTGGTTTCACGTCCTAAATTCTATTTTAATTGTCCGTGTTAGTTAAAGCTATTAAAGTAAAATTAAGGTTGTAACAATTAGGCACTTTTGCAAATACTGCAGATTTCTTGTTCTATTTGGAATTAAGGGAAAGTCACCTCTAGGTGAATCTTTAACATGTGTGGAGAGAATATAAACAGGAACAGAAAGGAAAAGTACTGAAAATTCTCATGGCCAGCTCGGTAAACCTTGTTTGTTCTCATTGGTGCCATTTTAGGATAGGTGAAGTGTAAAATGTATCATTCAGAAGGGGGCAAGAGAAAAAAAAAACATAAAAATGAAAGGCATAGATGTATTATGTCACACTCGCATGGGCTTGTCTGTGCCAGCCAGATGCAGACTCTGACACTGAGCGAGTCTTCTTCCTTATGACACGAATGCGTAAGTGTGTTTCCAACAAACCAATTATGTCACTAGTAACTCCAGGTCGGCATTCCACCATTTTCATCTTTTGGTGCACAGTATGACTCTAGCCATTTAAACATTAGTCCTTCCTATTTAAACGACCTCTATTTGCTCAGCTGTGGTCCTTGTTTGCCCAAAAGCATGTTTATATTTACTACTGTACTCTGGTTTGAACATGGCTTGTTTTCTTGTTTATCCTGATCTATGCACTCTTTGATTAATGTTTTTTTTATCTGTTAACTCTAATATCTCCTGCCATTGACCTTGGCTGTCTCCAACTATTCTATTGCGTTAAACCCAGCCAGCCTAAGGACCGGTAATATGGTATATTATCTTCCTTTGTTGTACTGAAGTTTGTTAGTTTGTGGTTTCTACATACTGTGACATAACAAGTGTATTTCACTTGACCTTGATCACCGACCACTGCTCTCTTTTTTATTGGCAGTCTAGTTAGAGGCAGAAAGAAAGTCCCTGATGCCATGAACCAATACTCTAATTTAGGAGAGCTACTAAAAAGCCAAAAGAAGAGAGATTCTAAAACAGAGGGTGTGTATTAATTAGCTTCTTCAATCTAGCACCAATGATTTCCTTGTTCCCTAGTGAGAAAATATGCAAAAAAGTTGTTAAAAAGGTGGATACCCATGTCCTGAAAAAGATGAAAATATTGGTGATTTAATGCCCTTAATTGGCACTGGTGTCATACTGGATATATTATCCTACTGAGTAAGAAATTAGATTATCTTACAGTATATACACCAATGGATCCCAGCTTACCAAAATTCTTTTGTGAATGTTCATACCTCTCTCATCTCCCAATATTTTCCTGTATGTCCTCTCATATCCACAACTCTTATCATGTCCCTCCCATTTCACTCATTTTCATTTTTAGCCCCTACTACCAAACCAAACTCACTAGAATCAGCTCCCTAATTGCTTTTCATACCGTATATACTCGAGTATAAGTCGAGTTTTTCTGCACATTTTTTGTGCTGAAAACCCCCCACTTGACTTATACTCGAGTTAATGTCTTTATTATGGCAATTTATATTGCCATAATACAGACCAGGAAAGCCAGGCTCATTACAAGCCCGGCGGTCCTGTTGGGGACTGACAGTGAGTGGTTACTTACCTTACTGCAGCTCCTGTCAGCTCCCTTCTCCTCCGTGCAGCTACTCTCTGCTCCCACTGTAAGTCTCGCGAGAGCCGCGGGGTCACCGCGGCTCTCGCAAGACTTACAGTGGGAGCTGACAGAGGAGCTGCACGGAGGAGAAGAGAGCTGACAGGAGCTGCAGGAAAGGTAAGAAACCGCTCACTGTCAGCCCCCCTCCTACACAGCCCATACACTGGACCACCAGGGAGTGAGAGCCCCCCTCCCTGGCAAGCTAACAAGCAGGGAGGGGTGACGAAAATTTAATTAAATAATAAAAAAAAATACAATAAAAAAAATTAAAATAAAAACTTAAAATATTAAAATAAAATAAACTTAAAATATTAAAATAAAATAAAACAAAAAACTTAAAATATTAAAATAAAAAAATTATAATAAAAATGTCCTCCTCGTGGATAAGTCGAGGGTAAAACTTGGGGCTATGAAATTCTGTGATTTTTAGAATTATATATACACACACACACACACTCATACAAACACACACTCTGCATTATACACACACACACACACTCATACAAACAATCTGCATTCTACACACACACAAACACACACACACACAAACACTCTCATACAAACACACACTCTGCATTATATACACACACACACTCATACAAACAATCTGCATTCTACACACTCATACAAACACACACACTCTGCATTATATACAGACAGAGTATGTGCGTGTTTGTATGAGTGTGTGTGTAGAATGCAGATTGTTTGTATGAGTGTGTGTGTGTATAATGCAGAGTGTGTGTTTGTATGAGTGTGTGTGTGTGTGTATATATAATTCTAAAAATCACAGAATTTCATAGCCCCAAGTTTTACCCTCGACTTATCCACGAGGCATAGCATATTTCACAATTGTTGGTCACAAAACTGCCCTCGACTTATACAATTTACCAATTCAAAATCGTCAAAATTGTTAATTTGTTTTTACTTTCTGTTTATAATTATTATTATGATTTGTAAAGCAAGGGTGCTGTAAAAGCAATATAAAATAAACACAAGTGCAGTAAAGGAGAACTTTTAATACAGGGATTGCCCACATATAATAAGGTGATGTTTGCTGTAAGCCATCAAATTCTTCCATCCTATATAGGTTAATGGTAAGTTTTGCCAGTACGCGGGTTGGAATGAGGTCTTTAATTTAGATCTGATGAAGAAATTTTTTTTATTTGAGACTTAATGAGAGTTCTATTCATTCTATAACTGAACAAGAAAAATATATATTGGAAGATCTCTAACACGAGAGAGATTTTCCTAACTGGTAACGTAATATTTACAGACAGTAACACTCCCAAGGGATGCCAAAAAGTAGTGTGTCTACTACAGCATGAGGTATAAGGTTATTCTTAAGTTATTATTATTAAGATATATTATTATTAAGATATATTGCTAAAATATACAAGTCAGTCTTTATTAGGCTAGGCCTAATGTACAGAAAAGAATACAATGTAATAGAAAGTACCACTATGTGCAGCCTAAAACAAACTCAAATGAAACCTGCAGTACAATGTAACTAAAAGGAAATAGGGGCTGTAAGTACACAACACTGCCCGATCTCACTGCCTGGAGTTAGGAGTGAACAGGGAAAACTGCGGGGTAACTCGCAAAACTCTAAATAGAATCACTGACTTCCTGTAGATAAAGAGGAAGGTCACAATAGAGAGAGGCAGTCATATAATCCTGTAATTGTTTCAGAGATCATAGCTATCCTCAAAACACATCTACGAATAAAGGAGGAGCAGTAGGGAAAATGGAGAGATAATAAAAATATACAGAATAGGATCCAGAGAATACCTCGGTTGATGAAGTAACAGGAACCAACTACCATATATAGCTATGCTATGCCAGTAGAATCACACTACTGGTAGACTAAAAATCTATAAAGGTGCCATAATAAAGGTGCAAAAACGTGCAAAGTGAAATGTGTGTATTGAATATCCTGACGAGCGTTTTTGTGCATAGCTGTACCATCGTCAAGGGAGGTCTGTAAATATTTTTTTACCAGTTAGGAGAATGTCCCTTGTGTTAGAGATCCTCCAATATCTTTTTGTGTCCTTTATTTAACAGCCCGGGGTATCCTGGTACTACCCACACTGGTGCTTTCTCATTGAGAGGGGATCTTTGTTTTCTTGAGGATCCTTTCTTGGTGGGATATTTTATTTTGTTCATTCTATCAGTGAATTGCTGTAGGATCTAGGTTCACATTGATCTCAATATACTGTATGCCTGATATGACGACACAGGAGCTTTAACAGTTGAATACTTATATTAGCGATAAAGGTCATTTTTAACAAGGCATCTGTTCACAGAAATACAACTTCCACTGAAGAATGTGTAGTTTTATTATAATTTAAGCTGGTTGTTTCCTAGAAGGCCATATAATTATATGAATAAACTCTGATAGTATCCTTTGCATTGACTAAAATTTTGTATCTTATTGACCTTTCCATAACCGAAGATTCAGTAACATGTCAAGTACTACATATTTTTCATTGCCTGTCAATGAATACAATTTGATATTTGACAATTATTGTGCTATTTGCCTCTGAACGAGCCATTCTAGCATTCTTTAGATGAACCAAAGATATTTTATTAGTCTCTACCTTTTACTTTTTTTGTTGATGATGAAGATGTCAGCATATAGGTGGATGATAAGTAATTTGCTAAACAAGAACTGTCACTTCTCTGGAAATGATGCCATTAAAGAAAACATTGAAAATTACCTATAATTTGTGTGAACCATTTTTTTTTTTTCATGAGATACTCAGGTTTTTTTTTCAAAGTGAAATTAAAGATTTTGCAAATTACATAATGTATTCGGTCCAGGCAGAGCCAAGTATTTACTGCAATGGAAAAGGAAAAAGAGATGCATTGTTTAATTTCTCCTCTTCTCTGCATGCTTTCTCTGTTGCGACTGCCAAGTGTAAAGGACAAAGTTTATAACAACAACTGTCAGGTAGGTATGATGAAAGGTCCCATAGTAGGATCAAGAGGTGTGGATTTCTATGTTTAAATATATAATTCACAGCTTACAAAAATTTATTGTTAACTATATGAGATAAATAAACATAATTTGAAAAAAATCGGCAAAATGATAATTCCCATTTAAAGGTTTATATTTTAGATTCTAAATTATAAAAACAAACAAATTAAGTTCACACCAAAACATGTCCTTTTTTTAATCTTTTTTTTTAATTTAATGTCTGGCAAAATATATCAATTTGTGAATGATGTTAATAACCGGCAATTTGTTAACACAATATCGTTCTGGTTTTGACAGATAAAAGAAGTTAGTGATAATGGAAAAAAAAATAAACCTCAACTAACTAAAACACAGATGAAAGATAATGAAGAATATAGAAAATACTTTTCTCCTGTGAATCAACTCATAAGAATACAAAATGTTAACGTAGGCGTAAAAAGCCATTCTCTGGCTGTAAAGGAATTATGAATGACTTATGTGGTTGTGTTCATAATGAAAAGTGGGGAAATATGCAACACGAGTTGTACTTAAATCATTCACATTTGTTTAGAAGTACAGGATGGATGGAAATCACATTTTTTAGTACAGTGCAGCATAAATCAGATGTAAATCTAATTTTTCTACCTACGTACAAATGTAGCAGCAGCTGACTGTCGGGGGGAGATGTAGAAAATAGAACGAAAATAGGAGAGAGATTTTTTTATGACTAAATTTATTAGCAGTATTATGAGTCAGCAGTGTTGCTTTCCCTCTAACAGATCAAACAAAGATGCATTCTTTGCTTTACTTATATAGGATTCTCATTAGACATTCATACAACGCATTTTATTTTTAATAACCGGCTCTAAAGTTAATATTTGGCTACATGATATGGTTCGTATTATACAGCTTGCAGAAATATGTCAAAGTAGTTCTATATAGGTGAACAAAAAGTCGTATGTGGGATTTTTTGTTCCACTAGTAATACTAAGTGTCACAAAATTCATAATAAAGTCAAATAAATAAAACGATACAAAAAAAATAAAATGTTGCAATTGTGTGATAGGGGGTTATGTTAGACTTTGGTGTATTTACTGCAGTGGGAACTGTTTTATGTTGATTAATAATATATACGACCTGGCAAACACTGTATCACAGCTACACTACATTTTTTTATACCTCTCCTCTAGAGTCTAGTGCTAGTCATTGTATTAGTCATTAAAAATAATACAAAACACAAAAAAACAGATTGCGTTGAATACTGCGTGTATTACACACAGTATTACACACATTATTCAGTGTGTAAATGATTACACACAGTATTCAGCGCAACCTGTTTTTTGTGTTTTGTGTTGTTTTTCTTCTTTTAAGCAAGGTGTTCGGGATATTCCTTACTTTCAGTATTTGCAGCTTAATTTACTGTTTATATTAATTGATTCCATTCTCTGATAAGTATTAGCAATATCAGCAATACCCTTGACAAAACAGATGATTGTTTGACCTAAGAAGCTATACATACTGTATACAGATATTATAAGCACATACAGATATTATTTTTATATTATAGTAGCATTTTGGGAACTCTACATTCTCAAAAACAACTACAGGTGATTTGCTAATATCCATTAAGGATGCATTTCATATCTAAAATATACAAATACAAAACGTCACCTTTTATTCCTACACATGATTCTCAACACCAATATCTTGCTTTGCATGTTGACATGACAGTATCACAGTGTTCATGGCAGTTCATCAGATCAGTACCTTTTGAGGGGTTGGGGGGTAGTTCATCCTAGTTGACAGGTGAGAAGTAGGTGCACAGAGCACCCATTTCCTGCCTGTCAGTCTTTGTAGTGTGTCT